AGTTAAATCACTGAAGACAAGTTGTTAAATACAGATAAATATATTTTTTGTAAGTTAAATCACTGAAGACAAGTTGTTAAATACAGATAAATATATTTTTTGTAAGTTAAATCACTGAAGACAAGTTGTTAAATACAGATAAATATATTTTTTATAACATATACTGTTGTAGATAAAACTTTTTGGACAATACCCTTCTTCAGGTATCTCTAGCCAAATATTAAATCTGTAAATGAAACAGTCCTAAATCGAAGGTTGCATGACAATATAACAAATAAAAATTTACATTCTGTAATTGCATGGAAGAATTAGCCCCATAAAATGGAAAGAATGACAAAATATTCTCTTGTCCTAACACTTATGCACAATACTTTATCTAGCTGAACAGTAAATTTGTAAAAGTTTTAAATCAAAGGTTGTGTGACTAGGACAAAGAAACATGTATAAGAATGTTTACAAATGCTTGAAACAATATAAGAGAATTAGAGTTACATATATCTATATACAGACACATACATACATATAACAATATACATGTGTATTATAGTTTTAAAAAGAAAAATCCACAACTGAGAATTTTGTAAAAGTAAATGAAGGATTAGTCGACACAAGTTATAAGAAAAAAATCTATGAAAAAATAATTATATAAAAACATAATATTGTATAAATGTTTCAAATGAAGTTAAAACCAAAGGATAGAAACTTTACAAAAAGCTAAAACTTTCAGTTATCCCATCAGGATGGATTGTTCCCAAGTCAAAATGTTCTATTTTTTGTAGTTTGCAGTTACATTTGTTTGTAGGGGGCTTTCTTCAAAATAAGTAATTTAAAATGTTCAAAGATATTGTAGTGCAAATTGGTGTCAAACCACTGGTTTATCCGTCTTACAATTTATCATGCCTCTGAGATGTTCTCATAATCTATTGGTTTCTCCTATGTATTATTTTCCACAACACATACATATGATTAAATACATGAGGCATTTTGATGTTTAATTATAATGATCCTACTTTTTCATATTTTTTTCTTTATAACTTGTGTTGACTAATCCTTCATTAAATTTTACTAGAATTCTCAGTTTTGGACTTTTACAACTCTATAAAATACACATGTATATTCCTACATGTATGTGTGTGCATGTACTTGTATATATATATATATATATATACACACACACATTTCTAATTCTCTATCATACTGTTTCAACCATTTGTAAACACTGTTATACATGTTTCTTTGTCCTAGTCACACAACCTTTGATTTAAAACTTTTACAAATTTACTGTTCAGCTAGATACAGTATTGTGCATAAGTGTTAGGACAAGAGAATATTTTGTCATTCTTTCCATTTTATGGGGCTAATTCTTCCATGCAATTACAGAATGTAAATTTCAACACTATGGTACTGCTTCACTGATCCCTGTTGACAACTGAATGAGCCAGGGTGAGAATACTTATCATTCTTTAGAATTCCCGTGTACTTCTACCAAGGGAATGTCATAAGGGTTCTGCTTGAATTAACATACTGATCAAATTTAGGGTCTGAAATAACTGTCATGGCACCCCATGCAGTGTCTTAACTATATAGAAAGGAGCTAGCATAAGGTACCGGTATATAATACAAGAAATCAATTTAATAGCACTCCACAAATAAACATTGATAAAAACAGTGTTTAACACTATATATTAAGTTTTGTTGTCATTCCATGGCCCCAAAATCATAGAGAATTATCAGTAGAGCAGAGAGTTTGCATAAAAGCTTTACGTGATGATGGTTGAACTCTCTGACAAATTGCTGTATACTTGAAGTTCTCCCCAAACACTGTCAAGTACACCCTAGGTAAATCTGAAAATAGGAAAGGAAGATATTGATGTTAAGTATCTTCATTTATGCAGCCTTCAGGACAGAAGGAAGACTGCCACTGATCTCAAGCAAGAGATAAATGACTATATACCAAATGACAAAAAAGTGTCCAGATCTACAGTATCAAGAAGACTCAACAAGAATGGAATATTTGGTCGTGTAGCAGTTAAAAAACCTTTACTCGATCTCCAAATATTGTCAAAACTGGACTACTGATGATTGGAAAAGGGCATTATGAAATGATGAGTCCAAGTTTGAAATATAGGTTGTACGCCTGTCACAAGAAAGGTGAAATATACTTACCTCAATGCATAATACCTATCATGAAGCATGGGAGAGGCAGTGTGATGATTTGGGGGTGTTTTTCTGTTGAGGCAACAAGAGATATTTGCACGATAGATGTAATAATGGACCAGCGCAAGTACCATCAAATACTTATCCGTCATGGTATACCCAGTGGGTTGTGTATTATTGGTAAAGGATTCTACTATCAAGAAGGTAATGACCCCAAACACTCATCTAATCTATGCAGAAATTACTTAGCTAAGAAAGAAGCTACTGGAGTCATTCAAATGATGTAATGACCCCTACAGAGCCCTGATCTCAACCCAACTGAGTAGATCTCGGATTTGATAGATAAAAAACTTGGCAAATCAAAAGTTACTTCGAAAGAAACTCTATGGGAGTGAATTAGAGACATTTGGAGTAAAATAAAATTTTGATGTTTCAACTGTGATTTACCTTCCATTGCTCTTGGAAATGAAAGTAACCTGAAATCTAATTTTTGACTTTGTCCTAACACTTTTGCACAGTACTGTACCTGAAGAAGGGAACTGCCCAAAAAAGTTGTATCTATAACAGTATATATTATAAAAAATATATATCTGTAGTTAATATCATGTCTTCAGTGGTTTAATCTATGACATACTTCTTTTCTTCTTATAATGTAATCATAATTAGCTATAGTCCTCCACCAATAGGAAGGCGACACATCCTCCGTACTTAGTAATCCACACAAGTAACTTCTTGATGAGACAAACTAAATGCACCAGAAGTGGGAAAGGAAAAGTGGGAGGTGGTGTAGAGGTGAGTATCAATCTGAAATACATTTTCAAGTAAGGAAAATGTTAATTTCAGAAATGCTACTCATCTTTCCACATCACCAAGAGCTAAATTTTCACACTGAAGATGGTGGAGGGGCCAGTTGAGAGAAATTACAATGATGAGCTCCTTTCTGAAAACAGCACCAGAAAGGAAAACCCTATGGGGTGTGATATCCATGAGGTGGTGGTAGCCTAATGGAGAGCACTTTCTGGGTGCCAACGTATCACTAAGATGGACAGATGGCAGATTGTTCAACTGTTCATTATCTCATGCTAAACCAGTCTTGTGGAAAACCCCATATCAACAGTAGGCAATAAGCAGAGGTAGATAGTCTTAACATTTTCCATGTTTTCCCCCATGCAATGCAGATTTTGGTTAAGTATTTCCTGTTAGGCAACACCAACCACTTGATGTGTTCCACCGTCTCAATAATATATAGCTATATATGTGGAATAAGGTAATTATGAGACCTGAAAAACAAAGGAGTAAAATAAACAATCCACCAGGAGAGTCACTGTGGAGTGGAAACTGATGACTAGAGGGAGACAAAAACCAGGGTACATGAAACCTCCCTGTGGTGTATGTGATGGGACACTATTGTGTCAAGGGTTGCTCACATCCTACAGAGTCTGGAATTAGATGCAAAGTGAGTGGAAACAAGAAGTGGAAAGGCAGTAGTGAGAGGAGACCGAAGGTGAGACAAAAGCCACTGCAGACACCAGAAGATAGAGAAACCACTCTATGGGAAGGTTCCAGGCCTAAGAGAAATAGTTGTTCTTCCATCACTTCAACTTTCAAGCCATGATAGATCAATAATTAAATGTGATGGTCATGGTCCCATATGAGAAAGTCCAGAATCAGGAAAACAGAAGTTCTGAGAGTCTCTGAATTAATCATAATAAGAAGACCAAACAGATGAGACAGTGAAGGCAAGACTGTGAGCAGCCATTAGTTAAAAAATGTAGAGATAGAAAAACCTTGCCCTTGGCAACTAGATGTCATAAATGGATCAGCCACCCAGAACTGTACCCCACTGGAACAGAAGCAGTTAAAAGATGCAGTTACAAAAGTGGTGGGTATTAAGCACAAAGTATCACCTATAGTCACCATGGATATTGAAACTCATATTTGTAAGCACAAGGAGCCCACAGACTGACATCTGAAAGGCTCCAAAGAACCTGGGTGAGACCCCTGATCCAAAGGATATGATCACTGCTGAAGAACTGCATCAGCTGAAGATGCCAACATATAAAAAATACTACAGATATAGAAACTCACATTTTTAAGCAGAAAGAGCCCACAGACTGACATAT